TTCGCTTCAGTGGCTCCCCACTGACTCTAAGATAAAATACAAATTCCTCCATTTGTCATTTAAAGATTTGCAATACAGCTTCGGCCTACCTCTCTGGACATATCTCATATTATTCTCTTTCATGCATTCGGTGTTGTAACCCAAATGTCCTATTTACTGTTCCTGGCATATTAGAAAGGGTGCTGTATTTGGGAGTTAAGAACACTTGGTACCATTTGGTATCGATTCAAAAACAGAATCGTAGATCAGTGGGACAAACCAGATAAGGAAGGATCAGAACTAATGAAACTAAATAACACCAGTGTTCAATAACATAAATTACTTACGAAAGAGCTCCCTATTTGATCTGCTGGGAAAGCTGTCTGGCAAAAATACGACTTCAACCAGGGGTGGAGAACCTGAGACCTCAAGGTCACATGTGACCTTCTAGGTCCTTGGGTGCAGCCTTTTGGCTGAGTCCAAGTTTTACAAAACAAATCCTTTTATTAAGGGGATTTGTTCTGTGAAGTTTGGATTCAGTCAAAGGGCCACACTTGAGGACCCTTAGAGGGCCACATGTGGCCCCAGGATGCAAGTTCCCCACTATTGGCTTAGATCAATAACTTACACCATATTTCACAATAAATTCAAAGTGGGTACATGCATCCTGAACATTAGAAAGCATACACACACACACACACATACATGATAGCACAGAAGCAAGTCATGTATTTTCGCAGCTATAGTTTAGAGATGAAGTCTTAACCAAACAAGGGATAGAGGTAATTACAAAAGATAAAAGATAATTTTGATTACATGAAATTGAAAAGTTTTTGCACACACAAAAATCTATGCACACAGACTTATATTAACTGGTAAAAATGGAAGCAGAGACAGCAAAACAATATATACAATGACTGCAACAATGTAAATGGAAAGAATAACCACAAAATGATAAAAAACAATGTTGCAAAATTACAAAGCACAAGCTTAGCCCAAAAGAATTGATAAGAAGCTGTCTCCTACCTTTCCTTTACATGCAAAGAAAAGTAATGGGAAGAGAGGTTCCCACTGGTGTCAAATTTAATGCCAGATTTTTTCAATATATTGGATTGGTTTAGCTGAATCTTTTTTTTTTTATTCTTCTTTTTTCTTTTCTTTTTTTAAAATTCTTTGTTATAAAGATGGCTTTCTGGGTAGAGGTAGGAGTGATACAGGGGAAAATCTAGGTCATGAAAAAACAAAGAAATCAATAAAACCTTTAAAAAAAAAAAGACCTGGACTTGAATCCTGCCTCTGAAATGACTGTCACTCAAATTCTCTGAGCCTCAATTTCTTCACCTATAAAATAGGGATAATGATAATACCTGGAGAAACAACCTCACAAGTTTGTATGAACCTTTAATGAGATAATATATTAACAGTGCTTTATCTGCTATTTTCCCTACCTTGGTGCCTTTGTACTGGTGGTCTCCCAATGGATGGAGTACAATACCCCTTCTCTTGTACTGCTTTCTTCAAAGTTTGGCACCATTTGGCACCATCTCCTATAGAAAGTCTTTCTGGATCTCCATTCTTGTGAGAGTTCTCTCCCTCCTCAAGTTATTATGTATTAACTTATCAGTTTACATGTTGTGTCTATATAACATAATATAATGTATATTATATCAATATAATGTAAATTCCATGAGGCCAGGCACTGTTTTTCTATTTGTATGCTCAGCCCCTCACATATAATAGGCACTAAATAAATACACATTGACTAGACTTGACCTAGGGATGTTTAGCCTAGAAAAGAGAAAACTTGAGGGGGTTTTGATAGTTATCTTTGAATGACACATAGAAGAGGGATTAGACATTTTCTGGAACTAGGATCAATGGGTAGAATCTTCCAAGAGCCAGATTTAGATTTATTGTAAGAAAAACAGAATTATCCAAAAGGGAAATGGGCAGTTTTGGAATTTATTCTCACTAGAGCTCTTCAAGCAAAAGTTGGATAACCACTTGTCGGGAATGTTATAGAAGAATTCTAGTTCAGGAATGGGTTGGACAGAATGGTACATGGAATTCCTTTCAGTTGTGAGATCCTCTGGGAACAGAATCACAGAGAAGACTGAGGAAGGTAGTTTCATACTGCCAACTGCTGCAGAAGGACCAAGCAGGTTTGAGGATGTATTAATTAAGGAGCCATGAATGATGTTGGAGATAACAGTTTTCATAAAGGAAAGGAGGAGGAGGAGATGATGAAGGAAGTGAAAGAGAATAAGAAGAAGGAGGAGGAAAAAGAGAAGAAAAGAGAAAGAGGTAGAAAAAGAGTAGAAGGAAATGGAAGAGAAAAAAAGAGAAGGAAGAAGAAGAATAAATGAAATTTAGGCCATTGAGGAATACAGAAGAAAGCAGAAAAAAAAAAGCTACTGAAGGGGTGGGGAACCTGCAGCCTCAAGGCCACATGTGGCTCTCTAGGTCCTCAAGTACAGCCCTTTAAATACAACAAGTTTGGATTCAATCAAAGGGCTTCACTTTAGGACTTAGAGGCCCACATGTGGTCTTGAGGCTGCAGGTTCCCCATCCCTGGTGTATACCTTAGTATAAAGTACACATGTGAATTATATTCCACTTAGTTTCTACAAAGCTCCAAATGACAATAAATAGTCTGACACAAAAAGCAGGCTAAACTGCTATCAACTGTTCTTCTGCACTAAGACTGGTTAAAGTATTGTCATTTTTCTTTCTTTCTTTCTTTCTTTCTTTCTTTCTTTCTTTCTTTCTTTCTTTCTTTCTTTCTTTCTTTCTTTCTTTCTTTTGCCCCTTCATTCAACAGGAAAAAAAGACTATACCCTAAATCATTTATATATTTCAAGAATGTTCCCAAACAGTATCTATTTCGTATGGAAGAGATAACTTCTTTCAGAAAATATAACCTACATTCTAGAACAGCATTTTGTATTAAATTCTATTTATAACTTTGATACACTCATAACATAAATTCCTGACTAGCTACACCAAGGAACTATTATGAACTTTTGTAGTAAGGTAGAAAGATATTGACCTCAATTCTTTTGGTGGCGTAGGGGGAAAAACTAGAGCATGAAATGGACACCAAAAGATCCTTTGTTCAAAAATGCCTCCCCCAGACATTTTTTTTGGTAGTGGTGGGGGAGGGTGTTAAAAAGTTTCTCTTCTAAAATGCATTTTACCATGGGACCATAAATCATATTCCACACCTTTGTTGAACTTATTTTGATCACATTAATTTCCCTGTAACATATTGCTGAGCTCATTCCCCGGGAAGGAAATGAAAATTTGCAGAGTGGGGAGAGAAGAAGAGTTAGCATAATTTTGGAGCACGGGTTACATAGCAGGCTTGGATAAGATATTGCAGTGACAACCATTGGCCATGTAGAAAGCAACATGAGTGTTATTGATGTGGGTTGGGGAGAGAGTTGGGTTAGAAGGTACCCCAAATAAAATTTGTCTATTTTGCAATATTGCCTAGGGCTCAAGTGGCTGTGGTTCTTCTGGTCTCTAAAGCTCATCATAATTCCATGATGGAATGATAACAGAATTAGCCATGTTATCTTTTTAAAGTGATATATCCAGCCAAACTAACAATGAAAAACCAGTTACATTCTACTTATACAGATCCCAAGATCAAACCAAAGTTTCTTCGAGGAATGCCTGTAAGATATCTCCTACCATACAGTTCTCTTCCTTGGACCCCCTACAAAAACTTTGTAGATGTGTTTATACTTCTCTTGTCTATAAGAAATAGCCAGTTGCTTCACTCTTCTGTGCCTCAGTTTGCTCATTTGTAAAATGCAGGATTTGGACTAAAAGGGTCTCATTGTAGCTTCCAGCTCTAGAATTCTGTAACTGTGTCAGATGTTGCTTTTTGTGGTTTATACAATCTATCCTTGATTATTTGACTTTATAATACACCCTCCTCCTCTTCTAAAAGCGCTGTATGGCATATTTATGACAGGTGATTTTTAAAAAATTAAAGGTAACTACATCTTTGTTGTGAGAGCTTTCTAAAATGACTAAAGAGACCATAGAACCATGGTCTCTGAGTTGGAGCTCAGAGGCTTTCTTGTCTAAGCACATCCTTTTTTTTTTTTTTTGTAGTGAGGCAATTGGGATTAAGTGACTTGCCCAGGGTCACACAGCTAGTAAGTGTCAAGTGTCTGAGGTCACATTTGAACTCAGGTCCTTCTGACTCCAAGACTGGAGCTCTATCCACTGCACCATCTAGTTGCCCCTAAGCACCTCTTTTTTTAAAAAGAGAGAAACTGAATCCCAAGGGAGTTAAGGGCCTTCCCCAAAATCAAATAGACAAGAAATATCAAAGGTGGGGTCCTTTGTCTCCAGAACCAGTACTCTTTCCACTATAACCATGCTGCCCACAAACCTTGCAATTTCACAAAATCAGAGTTGCGCATCATTGCTCCATGCCAAAATCTTGAAAATAGAGCTGTGGACAAGGGCAACTAGGTGGCACAGTGCATAAAGCACCAGCCCTTGGATCCAGCAAGACCTGACTTCAAATCCAGGAAGGAAGAAAAAGAAGGAATGAAAGAAAGAAAGAAAGAAAGAAGGAAAGAAAGAAAGAAAGAAGGAAAGAAAGAAGGAAAGAAAGAAAGGAAGAAAGAAAGAAAGAAAGAAAGAAAGAAAGAAAGAAAGAAAGAAAGAAAGAAAGAAAGAAAGAAAGAAAGAAAGAAA